AAAAAATTGTCGGAATGAGACACGACAGGGTGGGTAGCCGGAAAACGGAATGAGACACGTTTTCCGGGCACCGATGAACAGTGGGTCCACCGGGAGGGCAAGGATTAGGCTCTAGATACCATGTTGAGAGTGATGGTGAATGAAGAGAACATATTCCTTGTGTATTGCAAAGCAAAAGATGTGTTTAAATACAAAGTAGTGGGCCTAGGCCCATAAGATAAAATAACCATAAGATAAAATTATATCTAACATCGAGAAATAACAAGTATCGTCTCAAACCATAAAGGAACACACGAAGACATGAACCTTGAGGAAAGAACGAAGAAAAAGAGACAAAGCGTGAATACACAAGTATAAATTGCGTGTGTCAGAAAAAGGACACCTACTTTTCAGAAAAAGGTAACGCCTTCACAGCTACACTAGTAGAGAGAACAAAAATGCCTAGAATATGATTGAAGTCAGACATTGAAGTGAATGAAATTCATACAACACAAAATTAGGAAGCAAGGATTTAATGCAAGATCCAATGCATTAAATGAGAAGATCTCATAAGTCATGGATGAACAACTATCTACACCATTAGAGAACTCCGCCCCAACGGACATATTCAAATCAAAACAACAGGCATAATTCTAATGAGGCTATAAATATCAAGTTTTGAGAAATGAAGAAGTAGAAGAGAAGCACAAGAAAGAGCTAGAAAAAAACTTCTTACATCTATTTTCTATAAAACATTGAAAATTTGTGATAGTGAGTGTAGAAACTAGCCTAACCTTTTTGTGAGAGTTATACACACACTCAAAAAACATATCCCTGAAAAACTAAGGTTGTGTATCTTAGTAGAGTGTAGAAACAAACCTATCCTCTTTGTGGGAGTAAAACACGCACTCAAAACAATCGCCTGTTGTTAAGCCTGAAGAGGCTACTTTAAAGAATACTTAGAGAACCATAATTGATTTAAGAATACTAGCGTTAACAAGTAAAGTTGACGAGCCAAAAGTGGTTGAGAATACTTGGAGAACCATAAGTGGTTTAAGAATACTAGCATTAACAAGTGTAGTTGACGAGCCAAAAATTGTTGAGAATACTTGTAATCATTTGTGATTAGTGAAACCCTTCAGTCGAAGGAGACTGGACGTAGCTCAGATCGAGTGAACCAGTATAAAACTTTGTGCATTGCTATTTGATTTACAAACGCAGTTTTACATACATCTACATATTACACTGCAAAATTTATCTTTCACTACTTGCATTTCAGAACGACATTTAAAGAAAAAGTTATATTCACTTGACTCAAGAAATTATTTTCGAACAGACGATAAATTGTTAGATGCAAAGTTATCCTTAATCAACTTTTGTGAGTTCTTCAAAAGTGCTTAAAATTTTACTATCAGGAAAAAAGAAACCTTTTTGTGAAAACGTTTTTACAATCCTTCGTTTATACACACATTCAACCCCCCCCCCCTTCTATGTGTTTTCCGCTAAACTTCATATACTTGTAGGTTGACTAAACAATATATGTAATAAGAGAAGACACTACTACAAAAACATTATTCAACATCGTCACATTTACATCAATTTAAGTAGAAATGATGTAAAAGAAGAACGCGATGATATTTGTGTAATTAAGTGAAAAATATAAACATATTTACATCTATTTAGTAGTAAATATGAAGAATTTAACATCGGTTTTGATGTAGAATTCAAATCTGAAAAATATGTTGCGTCATTTATGTTTGCTGCTCTCTCTACTCTCATAATGAAACCCCCAATTGAACCTTCTCAAAACCATAATTCCTCTCACCATATCTCAATGTCACGGCTAATAAAGAATCGAACCCTCGATCACATCATCGACATGGAAATCGATCTCAAGGCTGCGTGCCTCCTCAAGGACGCCATCGTCCGCTCCTCCACCACCTTCCTCACTACCAACTCCATCGTTAACTGGTAGAAGCTCCTCTGCCTCACCGTCCCCGTCCTCCGCTTCCTCTGTCGCTACCCCACCCTCTTCCACGAGTTCCCCAACCCCCGCTGGCCCTCCCTCCCCTACTTTCGCCTCACCGACACCGCGCAACTCCTCCACTCACAAAAACTCGCTCTCCATCGAACGCACCAAAACGACGCCATCAGCAACCTCTCCAAGCTCCTCATGATGACCCGCTCACGCGTCCTCCCCCTCCACTCTCTCCACGTGCTCAAGTGGGACCTTGGCCTACCTGACACCTTCCACAAAACCCTAGGTTCTGCAATACCCTGACACCTTCCAATTCCTGAACTCCCCCAATAGTGTCGTTTCGCTTAAACTAACATGCTGGCTTGAGTCGCGCTTTTCGCTTTGCAGAGGAGCAATGAGGGTGGGACCCACTACCGAGGGCAATCGGTGTTGGCTTTTTCGATGAGGTTTCCAAGGGGCTATGGTGCTTAGAAGAAGGTTAGGGCATGGATGGAGGAGTTCCAAAAGCTTCCCTATCTCTCTCCTTATTCCGACTCCTCCAAGATTGACCCTAATAGTGACTTAATGGAGAAGCGCGTTGTTGGGGTTCTGCACGAGCTTTTGAGTCTCACTTTGCACAAGAAAACCAAGAGGAACTACTTGAGGGGGTTGAGGGAGGAGTTGAATCTTCCATGATATTTTGGACTAATGATTTTCAATTTTGGACCTTACCTATATATTTTGTGCTGTTCTTTAGAACTTAGAATTTGATAACTTCAAATTTGTTGTTTTGACTAGTCGGATTTGTTACTGATGCCAAATTATGCAATGCTATATATTTTATCATTGCTTAGACTATCCAAATTATTGGAATCAACATTCTTTATCTAATTTCATTTATTTCAGTTTCTTCCAGAAAACTTTGCAATTATTTTATTCCATTATGATGGCAATGTGGATGGATGGTGGAATCTTGACTGGAGTAGCAAGGTCATACACATTGTTGCTTGGAATCAAACAAAGTGGTAAGTATGAGACCGATGACTAAGATGTCTATTTTCCCCGTTTGAAATATGTTCATCGTAGGGAGATTGCTTATATTCTTTTGAGGAAACTATAATAATAAATAAAGGGTGCATATTATATCTTAATTAAGTAAATGATTTTGTGAAAATCAAGATGTCTTTGACTAGGATGAACTGGTTAGGCTATGTAAAAGCCTTGGAAATTCAGTAAAATGTTTGGCTTGTCTCAATGTTATTTTTCCTTTTTTTGTTGGGAACCACCGCTGAAATTGAAAATTTATTTAATATCATTTTAGTGGCTAGTCAAAGCTATGGGATTGGGAATCTTCTAGTTATAGATGATGAATGGGCAATGCATCACCGAACCTGGGCTCTCCTTAATATGGTATTTGTATTCAGTATGTTGTAACTGAACATATCACATTGCTGGTTCTCTTATAAAGTTTCCCAAGACGTGTTGTTTTGTTCTTGTGTATGCATACTCACTTATAAATATATGTAATTGATGGTTTATTTTTTTGAACTTACATATTAATTCATAAGTTCTTTGTCAGGTGGTTTGGTCTTTGCCTCTTTGGTCTTTGCCTTTCTGTTGCTGCTGATATTTTGATATTGTGTGCAGTCTTCCTTGGATGTGAATGATTATGATTTTATATGGTAGCAGGAACCTGCAATACTGGTGTAAATGTTATGAAAAGAATAATCCAATTTTATTTGTCCATTATATTTATATATGAAAAATCTGTTTGAAATATTTGTATATATGTTCATTACAAGTAATAAAAAAGAATCTAAAAATGAGCATTATTTTTTTATTAAAAAAATGCAATCTACATCGGTTCTCTAAAGAATAGATGTAAATTTTTGCGTAAATCTACATCGGTTTTTGTGAGAACCGATGTAAATTTTTGTAGAAATCTACATCGGTTCTTGAGAACCGATGTAGATTTAGGCATAATCTACATCAGTTCTAAAATCGATGTAAAATGGTATAGATTTTCTAAGTCGCTCTATTCTACATCGATTTTAGAACTAATGTAGATGACCTCGCAATACCGATGTAAAATATGCATCCTATATTAGTGAGAATTAACCGCATGAGTGTGAGGTTTGGTAAATTCCAACTCTCACAAACCCACCATATCATTTCTTATCTTTCCCACACACAAACTGTTTGACAAAATTATCCATAGAGTAGCTTATGTTACTTACTTTCATACTTAACACAAATTACAAAATGGAATCATTATTTAGTCACTAATAGTCATTAAATACTTATTTTACCTTATCTAGTCCCTATGGATATGATCTTATATATCACTTGAATGACTGGTGCACTTGTCGTGTTTTTTGAGTCTATGGTTAGAAATTAAATTACATTTTACAAGAGAGTAACCTTAACGGAAACTCAACAATTTACATGTAATTCCCTCATCCAATAATCTCACCAAAACCTTTAAGATTTCGCATGACTTTTTCTCTTCTATTTCTCCTCTATCTTTCTTCTCTCTCTCTCTCCTAAATCTTCTTTGTTGTCTTTCTTGTTTCTCTCTCTTTCTCATCTCTTTCTCATGTTCTCTTTCTCTCTAGCCTTTCTTACTTTTCTCTCTCCCCTTTCTCTTCTCTTCTCTCTCTCACTTTCCCTTTTTCTCTATCTTAGCTTCTTCTCTCTGTCTCTCGCTCTTTTATTTTTTTCTATCTCATTTCTTCTTTCTCTTTTTATTCATCTCTCTTATTCATGATATCGAAGATTTTGCTAGTCATTTAATAACCCTCAAAATGAAAATGAAGTGTTTTATTTACACAATGCATCCTTAAGAAATGTGATCGGAGGATATTTGATATTTTTAAATCATGCTTCACAATTTTTAAGTCAGTGCCTCCATTTTTATTTAATACACAAGCTAAAATTATATTAGCATATGTAATACTACTTAACTTTATTCACAAAGAATGTCATTATGATCAATTTCTAATTAATTTAGTGGATGAATCTTTACCTTTAGTGCTACCAATTAATGAAAATCATAATTTTGAACATAGAGCATGAAAGAGAATATGACAATGCATGGATGACTAGTATAACTTTAAATATGTGGAGAAATGTTAGTTAGAGGACTTTAGAGTCAATCATTTGTCAAAAGATAGAAAAAGTATTTTGGTTTTATTTTTCTATATAATTTATGGTATATTTTTTAATTATTGTAGCATTATATGTGTTTTACAAATTCATGTTTTCTTCTAAAATTCATAAAATCCTTTAAAATATTATGATACAAATCCATCAAAATCTACTAAAATCTATTAAAATCCAAACTATAAAGTCTTGATTAAAATCCATGTTTTAAAAGTATTTGAAAAAAAAAAAACTTAAAAGTCATGACATTCCTTCAAAGTCTTTTAAATTCCATTAAAATCTACAAGATATTTTCAAACTAAAATGGTCTTTCAAAATTTCAATCTAATACACCCCTAAAATTTGCACCACTTAAGTATGAAACATGTATGAGACAAATTTTTATTTGGTGAGAATAGAACGAGTACTTAAGTGCTAGGATTATTTTGTTGATTTGTTTAATAGGATATACTTTTATCAAGAGGATATTATTACTTTTAGATAGGATATTTTAACACACAACTCTACATTGGAATAAATATTATCCACTTTGAGTTTTAACTTTTATAGTTTTTTTTTAATCATCATCTAAAAAGTCTCTAACTAATGGAGTATGTGTGTAATTTATAATTTTTTTACTTCTTTTCTTGTTTTAATGATATAGAACCTTTTTTTGTATATTAAATGTGTGTAAAATATAGCTCATAAGTCAATTGTTTTATTAATTGTAAATTTAAAAATTAATGTCAATTATTTATCTTCGGTATAATTAATTTAAAATCAAATTCAAGTTTAAAGTATATGTTGTTGAAGTTTCATTTCGCCCCGTTAGGCCTTGTCATAGTGGCTTATGGTTCTCACTTTCTCCAATTGATTGAGCTCACTAGCAACCGTGTCATTAACAATGTTCTCTATTCATTAATTAACCGTATGGATTGAATGTAGGTCACAAATGAATGTGATTAAACTAATATAAATTTAGTGATGGATTTAGAAATTTTAGATAGTATGGACAATATTTATTCATATATTTGTATAGTATTAAAAATTTTATATATCACTTTTTAAAATATAAATATATATTATAACTATTTTCTAAAAGTTTTTATATTTACAGTTACAATTAAAACTAGGTCAAACTGTTATACTATAATTTAGTAGACCTGAATATAACCTTCATTGAAAATACATGCGCTAAATATAACTTAATTATTCAGCATAGACAATTTTTAATGTTTGGTTAAAAGTACAACCCTAAAGATCTATTTTATAGTAATCTAACACTAATAAAAATATAAAAGTAAATATGTTAAATTTTATAAAAGTCAAATTTAATTTATTTATGATATAAACATGTTTTTAATATCTAATATAAACATTTAGATGATAATTTATTTTAAAACATATTTTATAATTAAAATTCTAAATTGAGCATAAAGCTTATTATCTTTACTATTTTGATTTTCTTTAATCAACGTATACAATAAATAAAAAAAGTAAAAAAGGCAAATATATATATATATATATATATATATATATTATAATTGAAATTTTAAAATAATTTTGTTCATTATCAAGAAGTATTCTTTGTCATATATGAGAATTAATCTCTTTCAAAAGTTTAATAAGCATAAAATAAATGAAAATCTCCTCCAAACATAAATTTTATATATACGATAATTTAAACATATATAATTTTATTTTATTAGAATATAACTTTTGTTTTTTAAGATATACTATTTTTCTTTTTGATAAAAAAGCACATATGCTATATATAAAATTGTAAAATGGTAATGAGCAAGTTCCCCCACAAGATACCATATAGATACGTCTCTATATAAATTGTTGTGCATTTTTCTCATATCTTTAATCTTGTATTTTACATTATTGCAAATATGATAACATGTTTATTATTATGTGTTATGTGTCATGAACATTACATATATAATGAATAGAATCTAAATCTGCGTTAAAAAGTGTTTTCAATGTAACATTTCTTATAAGTTGAAAACAAATTTGGCTCATTGGCAAGTTTTTGAAAAAGTTTTAACCAAGAAAATTGAAAAGAATTATTTCAAAATTTAATTCATCCCTCTCTTGAATCGGTCATCTTTTCAAACAATATATATGTATAGAGTTTTGTTGTAACATCCTAAGGGACTTATGTTTTCAAGTTAAAATTGGTAGGGACTGTTATATGTTTTCTACACTTTATACATATATTTGTTGCATGAATGTCCAGGTATTGTTATATAATAACCCTATGTTAGTAGATTATGTTTTCCATTGCATAGTAATTGTGTTTTCCATTGCATAGTAATTGTGTTATACTAAGTAGTAACACATCGGGTCATTATACTCATAATACAAATTTACAAATAGACACCTATAGAAATTCAAAATAGAGACCTATAAAGCTAAGGGATCCCCTCACTACCCATACCTCTCATCAGTGACGGATCCAGAAATTTTACATAGTGGGGGCAGTATTTATTTATATATTAATAATATTAAAAATTTTACATATAAATTTTAAAAGTATAAATATATATTATAATTATTTTTTACAAGCTTTTATAATTATGATTATGATTAAGGATGAAAATAAGTTAGATTAGACTATGCTATATTATAATTTAGTAGGTATGAACTTAACCTTTTTTTTAAAAAAAAAAAAATAGATGTCTTAAAAATGACTTATTTATTTATCATAGATATTTTTTATATGTTTGATTAAAACTGCAATCCTAAAAATATACTTTATAACAATTTAATAGTAATAAAAATATAAAAATAAATATAATAAATTGTATAAAAATCAAGTTTAATTTATTAATAATATAAACATGTTTTAATATATAATATAATATTTTAGATGATAATTTATTTTAAAACATATTTTATAATAAAAATTTTAAATAGAGCATAAATCTTCCAATCTTT